GGGGGGGGGGGGGTGTAGGAAATCACCAGCCGGCCGACCTGCCCCTTCCTCCCCTGGGATGCAGGACCCCAGGCCCTGGCCCCTCATCCTTCCAGCCCCACCAGCACCGGCCCCCAGCCCCCTCCGCCGGCGGGCCCCCGAACTTGGGTTTTCTCTCCCAGGACGAGCTCTGTGGGCCATTCTGGCACCTGGTCCTGGCCCAGCGCTGGATGGGTCGGCTCAAGGCTGTGGCTGGGTCCCAGATGCAAAGCCTGCTGGAGGCGGTCAACACCGAGATACATTTTGTCACCTTGTGTGCCTTCCAGGTTAGCCCTGAACTTGGGAGACAGCTAGGGGAGTGCGTGAAATGCCTTCCTAGGGCTTACTTACTGGAGATTTCTTTAGACTAGCAACCCACAGGTGGTGGGGCTGGAACCCCAGTCCCCCTGGGGGGCCCACTGCTGAAAAGAACGCTTCCCTGGGCACTGAAAGATGGCGAGGGTCCTGGGCCTAATGCTCCAGTTCTGAGTTGATTTCTCAGGCCCGTTACTGGGTGTTGCTGAGGGGTTCTCTCCCCTAGCAACCAGAAGGAGGCGATCCAAACCCCCTCCGGACCCAGATCTGACTGGGCCCGCTCGCTGTGCATCGCTAAGGACATCTCCCCTTAGCAATCCTGGGGGCAGGGGTCCAAACTCTCCCTCGGAGACCCTCAAGGGACCCTGTTAGGCATTGCCAGGCAGGGAAGGCCCTTGGCCTGAGCGGAGGGTGATGAGGGTGATGCGGTGGTGACGTCTCCCTCCCCTGCCCCCAGCCCCTCCCCAGCTGTCTTCGATTCGTCCAGACCAACATCTCCCACCTCCTGCAGGACACCTCCGAGCAGCTGGTGGCCTTGAAGCCCTGGATCACCCGCAGGAATTTCTCGGGGTGCCTGGAGCTACAGTGTCAGCCCGGTAAAGCCCCCCCAAGCCCCCCAAGCCCCCACCTCCTACCCTCACCTCTCGCATCCCACAGCCCCTCACCCCTTCCCCTCAGGCCATCCCAGACCCTGCTCTGCTCCCATTGGCTGTGTGACCTTGGGGCATGTCCCCCCAAGTTCATTCCTCTTTCTAGGCCTCAGTTTACCCATCTCTGAGAAGGGAACAGTCATCCCTGCCTTTTTCTTTTTTTTTTTTCCAGGTTTTTTTTTTTTCCAAGTTTCACTTATTTATTTTGAGAGAGAGAGAGAGAGAGTGAGCACAAGCAGGGGAGGGACAGAGAGAGGGAGAGGCGAATCCCAAGCAGGCTCTGTGCTATCAGCAAGGAGCCCAATTCAGGGCTCGAACCCAGGCCCATAAATAAATAGGCTCTTACAAAAATAAATAAATAATTATTTAGTGTGACATTTCACGTCCTTTGTCCCCTCTTAAATCTTTAGGAACCAGTGTGCATTTCACACTGCTGACGCATGTGAATTCAGACTCTCGTAGGAGGTGTGTCAACAGTTGCTGCGGGAGGGGACTCACCAACTCTAAAGGATCAATGGGGGGGCGCCTGGGTGGCTCAGTCGGTTGGGTGTCCGACTTCGGCTCAGGTCATGATCTCACAGTGTGTGGGTTCGGGCCCCGCGTCGGGCTCTGTGCTGACAGCTCGGAGCCCGGAGCCTGCTTCGAATTCTGTGTCTCCCTCTCTCTCTGCCCCTCCCCCGTTCATGCTGTGTCTCTCTCTGTCTCAAAAATAAATAAACGTTAAAAAAAATTTTTTTTTCTTTAAAAAAAGAGGAAAACAGCTGAGTATAAGGAGCCCTATGCAGGCAAATTACAACAGGGTGATGGAAGCATGGTCTGAAGTGGTTGGCTGGAAAGTCACTGAAAGTTGAGAATGAGGGAACAGCCAGTGCGAAGGCCCTGAGGCAGAAACCTGCCTATGTGTTTAAGGAAGAGTGAAGGGACACATGTGGCTGGAGCCCAGTGGGTGAAGGGAAGAGAGAACAGGGTGAGCGTATACAGGGAAGGGTCTTGGACCGTTTTATTATCTGCCCATTTGTCAATTTGTCATTTGGCCAGATATTTAATTTATGAAATTAAGCTATTATAATATTACTTAATGAGCACTAAGTAGTAGGGTCTGGCAATAAATAAGACAGATAAGGTTCCTGTCACCCGCATGGAGCTCACAGCTGATTGGAGGAAAAAGAGGAATAAACAAATCAATACATAAGCCCTAGAAATATATTTCTCCAGGGGCTCCTGGGGGGGCTCAGTCGGTTGAGCGTCCGACTTTGGCTCAGGTCATGATCTCGCGGTTCATGGGTTCGAGCCCTGCGTTGGGCTCTGTGCTAATGGCTCAGAGTCTGGAGCCTGCTTCAGATTCTG